AATTATTCATTCATTATTCATAAAATTTATCAGCTTCATCTAACAGTGAATAATATTTCTTATTCTTAATAGCACAAGTTTCCAGACACTGTCCTAAGGGTTTTTCAAAGATCATCTTTTTTAATTTTCACAAGCTATGAGGTAGAAACTAGTATTATCTCCATTTTACAGGCTTATAGAGGTTAAGAAACTTTCCTAAAGTCAAACAGATATCAAGTGGCCAATCCAGAATTCAATCTCAATAGTTTGACCCTAAACCCAGACTAATCCTGGTGCTTTTAATCACTGTGCTCTGCTGTCTTTGCCAGAGACTGGGAAAAGTTACTTCTTGCTTTATAAAGAGAAGTATTAGGTAGAATCCTACTAAATGTCCATCCAGTTCAGTTTTTTAAATCTCTCTGACGATTTTATTATACAATAAAATTGTGCGATGGCACAATCACTTGCTTGTTTTCAATCTTAGGAAGAGAAGGCGTGACTGAATGGCCCTGAATTCCTCTTAACAATCTTTTTTGAGGTTTTGAAGAGGAGAGGCCTACATTTTAGCTATATTGTCTATAAAAATTACCTTCCAGAATAATGAATTGATAAATCTACTTTATAGTCAGAATCATAAAATTGAATATATAGTGGTTCAGTGAACATTACTTCATTAACTGAAAAGAATCTGATTTCCAAGACAAAGATTCAGTCAAGGAATCTAATTAGAACTAGTCAGTCTAGTCATAAGCAATTTAAACAGGTTTTCTTTTCAATAAAATTAAAAAACATAAAATAACAGACTATAAAATTTGTCTTTGAAAAATTTAAACTTAGAGGAAAAGAAATATAAGATAAAAGGTGGGCATTCTCCTTATTTAACATGGTAATTTACATCATTATTTAGACATTTTAATGGTAGCTTTAATAAGCATGTATTATCACTTAATATATGCTTATTACACGCATATGCATCATGTAAATGTTTGTGTACATCCTTAACTCAAGTATGGAATTCAAATTATAATCACTCTTTGATTAAGACAATAGCCTTTCCTAGGACGATAGCTCATGTATATACCTTTGATATCCATGGTTATTCTCATCTGAACCTTTGGCCCTGCACCAGCACTATTGATTGCATAAACCTAAAACAAAGAAACATTTTGTTACTATTTTCAAGTTATTGCTTATGTGTATCTATATTTGTTGTAGTTATATATAATTTTAAAATGATTCCACTTTTAAACACAATTGCATGTAGTCTATTAATTATATTTTCTTGCATCCATTTAAATGAATACAATACAGGTAGGAAGAACATTATCAATGAAATATTTCTTAATGCTGATATTTTGGTACTAAGCCCTAAGAACAAAGGCTAAGTGACCTATACAGCCCTATCACAGAGATCAGGAAGGACTGTGACTTCAATTTGAACTCGTAGGAGGAAGAGAACAGTAAAGCCACTATATCTATCTACACTCTCTCTTCATCTACTCTAACATCTGTTCCTTCTCTCTGTAGTTAGGTAACTCTGGCTTTCTTTAAATCCATATTCAAGATCCCATTTTTTCCTTCTTTGAGATGAAATCCTATTCCTCCAGCCTCCCCGTTTTCCTGTATTAAATCATCCCTCTGAAAGTTGGCCTTTATGCCCTTCTTCACCCCTGCCCCAAAGTATCTGATGCTATAACCTGCATAATGCAGCATATACACATAAAGCATTTCTGTTTGTATATACAGGGGGTGATTTACACAAATGTGAATCCTTTCAATTAACTTTGTGTCTAGGAAGCTCTAGACACAGAATCTTCTTTTATTCACTTTATCTTGCTATATGAAGCAAAGACCATGTTCTTGGCCAATTCCATTGTGCTTGATTAACACGATTCAGTATATGTTTATTGAAATTAATTGTTTTGTTTTATACATTAATGGCCTACCCTTCCACACTATAGATACTTTGGAATTGTTTCTATTGCATTAAAACTGTAATATTATATGTGATGTCACAGATTTGGTAAATAAACCAAGACCATAATATGTGGTTAAAAAATAACTAAAGGAAATATTTATTGGAGTTTATAAATTTTAAAAAGGAAGTATTCATAATGAAAAGTGATGTTATAGTGTGGTTAATTATTTTCATTTCTTTATGTTACAGTGTAATATTTAAGTGAAATAATATGTGAAAAAGTTGGCAGTGCTTCTCAAATTGCAGTGTGTACAGAAGTCATTTGTGAATCTTACTAAATACAAATTGTAGGTTTTGATTCAGTAGGTCAGTACAGGTGCAAAAGTTATACATTCTAACAAACTTCAAGGTATTAAAAACACTGGAAAATACACACTGCAAACAGTTACAGGATTTAAAAATTTTTCTTTAAATTATCAATTAGTTATACTTTGTTTTATTTTCCATTTTCTCTCTTATTCACAATAGCCAAAACTGATACAGCACTCACTACCTACCATAAGTATAAATATTTAATCCTTATAAAAATCCTACTAAGAAGTCACTTTTCCTACTACCAATTTTTCACATGTGGAAACTGAGGCACAGGTTTGATAAAGCTGACCAAACACAGAAGCCAGTATTTGAAGCCAGATCATTTCATTCTCTAAACCACCACCTACCCTCTAATAGCTCCTTCATAATAGTAGTCCATTTAATGAGACATGCAACAAGAATCACAAGATAGATGATATAAATAGATTATATAAATATATAAAGTTAAATTGAGTGACAGAAAGAATAAATATAAATATATATATTCATTTCATATATACAAATTATTAACAGTGTTCTGATAATCAAACTGATACAAAGAGTTGGTAGGAGGATTACTTACTAAGCTACTTGAAGATTTAGAGTGATATAGCACTCACTGAGGTTTAGAGTCAATTCCATGTTGCTTAAAAGATGATTTTTCTGAACCATATAATTCTATTTGAAAATTCCAAGACATGATACAAAAATAGGCAAAGAATGAAACAAATTGTGTGTGTATGTGTCTGTGTGTATATATATGAACTCACATACAAGTACTAAAATAATTTAGAATTAAGATATAATATGCTATTAGCTTTTAGTAATAGCTGTGCAAAATGTATGTGAATTTTAAACATGTAAGTAGTTACTTCTGCCTTTTGTCTTTGAAGTTTGCTTTTCCATTTTTCATAATCACACAGTTTTCTTTTAGACAGAGTTATCTCCTTAAATATCACTG